AAAAAGGTATTTTAGTATCCTTTGCTAAAGTCTTTTCTTCTTGTAGAGCAATACATAATTTAATAGCCATAGCAGGCTGGCTTCATGGCTGTGCTACCTGCTAAGTCACTCAGGGAGGGTCCCTACCTTAGAAGGTCCCCATACTGGATATGTTCTGAGCTTCAGATTCTTTTAATTCCAGTTGCTAAAACACATGGCTTTGTCCATTCTTGCTCTTTAATTTGCCTCAAATTTTTAGTTAGATAAGCATTATATTCTTGGGGGAGGAGGAAGAGAGGACACTTTTTTTATGGCCCATCTTCAGAGTTCCCAGTGGCATAAATTAAATGTAATTTTATTAGAGGCATAAACAATAAAAACAAGAAATTTTACTGGTGAGAAAGATATACTTGAACAGGGGAAGTTAACTGCTTATCAATATCAATCTTAACTTAAAAATCAATGAAAAATATTAACCCTCTTCTTAGGAAAAGTCAGTGTATCAAAGAAATTGAAAGCAAAATAAAAATATTTTATATTCAAAATGCATTAGTAGATAAAAATGAGACATGATCACCCATCATTGATGAGACATATTTAAGGTAATGTAACTTTTAAACACTTATCAGGTACAAATTATTCTTCTACATAATTTGCTTTCTTTCCTTTTAAAAATCACTGTATATTAACAGACAGAAATATGGATGCTTATTATTTTTGACTTCTAGTTCAAAATAAAAAAATTGTGCATAAAAAAAGGTCTCCATACTTGGATTAATGCTCTGCTATCATTGTCTTGAAATTCTTATGAAGTTTTGACCAAGGGGCTCTGCATTTTTAGTTTGCACTGGTTCCCACAAATTATGTAGTCCTGTAGCTATGCCTATGTTGTCTCCTAGTATTGCATTATTTCTCCTAAAAGACTGAAAGTTTCCAGGGAGCTTTACTTTTTTAGTGTTTCTCATGCCATTCCCAAAGATGCCTCTCACACTTGAGGCCATAAGTCCCCACAGAGGGCTGAGACTTTGGTGCCTTCATCCTTCCACCTATGTGCCTAGCTCAGAGCTTGATACAGAGCAGGTACCAAATGAATGCATGAGTAAATGAATACCAGATTATCAATATATACCTGTTGACTTATTTAATTAACAAAACAGTCAAACTTTTAGTAGTTTTAGATTTGCAGTGAAAGGTGACTAGGTGGGTTGGGAGAGATTCAAAGTAAAATATTAAAGGAAAAAAGCTTTCTTGAAAAGAATAAATAGAACTGGATTGATGGAAAGTTTGAAGCAAATAAAATTGAAACACAGGTTGAACACCAAGTTGAATAAGAAGAGGTGAGTGGTTAAAAAACAGTGAGATATCTCTCAACAAATTACATCCTAGGGTGGAATCTTTCCTCTCAAATTCAATTTAATAAACATCAGATTCATTCTGTAAGTTGTAACACAGGAAATGAAAATTGTCCAAGTTTTGAGAAAGGAGAGCATATAAGGTATGTATTCAGGAGGAGCCAAAGGATTATTGATTATTCTTTGACTATTCTAAGAGTTCTTGACCTACTGTTTTGTATTAATAAACATAGTAATATGAATATAAAATCTGAATGAAGAAGTGAATTTTTAAACTCTTTCTTCTGCCTCTTGGCAGAATAAACAGAACTCATGTTCTGGTCCCAGTTACCACAGCTCAGCTAAACACATTTTATTCTTTAAACCAAGATAGTTTCCTACTCTTATATTGGCTTGGGAAAACATAATTCTAACATTCATTTTTGTAAAATAAAGTAACAAAAAACTAACACTTCTTTCTCTGGAGTCTTTAATATTGTGTTTGATCATCTCTCAAATTGCTTGGGAGTTATCAGTTCTTTACAAATCGTGTACTCTCCCATGTTACCTCTTGATGATCAATGTCTTGTACCCTGGATAACATAATACAGTTCTATCTATCTGTAAAGAGTTTCCCTATAGCACTGTTTAGTCTCACTTTCTGTTTTGTTGCTATACCACACTTGAATAAGTGACTTAAATTGTGCACAGATGTCCAGGTGTGGCTTTAACTTCCTTTTGCATTTCAGCAGAATAATTTATTTTAACATATTCATTACTGCTATTATGGCTCTCTAAATTACTTGTGGTGCTGCAATAATGCTGGTTCACTGAATATTAAATATGTGAAAGCAAGTGATTTTATGCTTCAGATGATTATTTATGGGAAAATTCAATTTTTGGAGGATGATAAAAATAGTGGAAAAGAGGTGAATAAAAGAACTGACATTCACAAGCAAAATGAAGCAACAGTGGAAACAAGCATTTGGGGGAAATATAGCTTTAAAGTAGTTACGAACACTCAGATTCTAAGCAGGCAATGATGAGGTCTTAGGGCTACACACCTGAGCTCCAATTTGATGTCCTTATGAGGCCTGGAGAAAAATTTTAGGACTTGGTAAGATGCACAAAAGAATTTCATAGACTATCTTTAATGGGAAAGGAGATGATAAAAAAATAGCTTCCATCAATCTTGGGGAACACAGATTTTTAGTCTCCCCAAATCCCCACTAAAATAGAATTACAGAGTTATAGAAATTTATCCCTTGCCACCCAAGAATGTTCCTCATGCTCAATATTGAGCAAAGTGAACTGCTGATATAATCCAATGATGGTATTCCATAGGAAGATGTATGATGGAATTGTCTTTGCTGTTCCCATTTTTATGTGACACATACTTGAATAAATGCACTTTAAGGATTCTGCTGCTGGAATTGTAGCCATCATTAGAGAAACTCTATTTAAAATGCTCAACTTTGGTCCTGTGTCCTGTCCTATTAGAATTCCCCAAGTTTACAAATCAATGAATGGGAATGGGAAGAAGAATGGCAGGGTAAAACTATTTTGAGTTTTATTTCACAAGCCAACCTGGAAAACAGCAATAGTCAAATATCCACGTTCCTTCAATTGTCAGGAGCTGTTAACAAAAATAGTAAAAATAAAAAAATAGAGGAACCAAAACCCCTAGTTAAGTTTTTAAATCTGTTTAAGACCAACCAGGCAGAAGAGGCAAGCTATTTTTACTAATTTTAGGTAAGTAAAGCAACTATATAATAGAACATTGGTGACTTGATCAAACTCACTTTGAATGGAAGCTTAAGTTGAATGTTGCATGAATATTCAGACAATAGCAACCTGTTTGAAATTTCTTTTGAGTGTAATTTCAACATTTATGCATTTTATCTTCTCCTAGGCATAAAGCCAAAGGCTAAAAGAGCAGAACACAAAAAAGCTGAACCTGAATTATGTACTAAACCCTGTTGAGTTTAATTTTACTTACAAAGCAGAATGTTGGTTTAAATTTGCCCCTCACAACCCTGTAAAGACACCTAGTTTCTTGTTATCAACCTCTAAATTGTGTGATTCATTTGGAAAGCTTCAATTTTAGGAGCATCATTCTAAATTACTAGGCAAGTGCCACACAATAAATACACATAATCTAAAACAGACCACAGCAAGAGAAGAAAGCAATTTTCCATAAATTTGACTGCAATATGGAGCTTGCAATTCCATGAGCCTTATAACTTCAAAGGCATAAAGGAAAAATTTTTACCTAAATGGAATATCATGAGAGGATGAGCACTTTAAAAGCTTGATGTTTTGTAAAAGGGTGATACAGATACACATTCTTGATATAAATTTGGAGAAAAGTTCAAATAACCTTTTGAACAGGAACACACCAAAAAAAGGACAAAGTGCCACTCACTCAGATACACACTTGTTTCAAAACAATATTTTACTTGGATCAATGATGGATGCACTACCAAAAATCAACAAACCTTTGAAAATACATACAACTAAAAGAGATGATGAAGCTTACTATATGCTTTATGTTTCCTACTCAAGATTTTTATAATATTAATGAATTCTTAAAAGTCATGATTGGAAAACACTTCAAGTAGATAAAAGACAAGTAAATCTAAAATATAAGTTTTTGCTATGGATTGTGAATTTTTATTTGCAGAGATCATGCAAAGAGTCTTAGCATACAATACTCACATCACTCAAAATGTAATTGTTTAAAATCAAAAAAGGAGAGGCACTAGGTGAGATTCTGTTAGTGTTCTACTTCTTGTCTTGAACTTAGTTTCATGGTGTATTCATATTTGATTTTTCATTGAGGTATACACCTGTACACAAATAATTTGTGGAATTTTCTGTAGGTATATTGTATCTCAAACTAAAAGAAAGAAGAGAAAAGAAGGAAGGGAGAGAGAGAGGAAGGAGGGAAGGAAGGAAGGAAGGAAGGAAGGAAGGAAGGAAAGGAGGAAGGGAGGGAAGGGAGGAGATAGAGAGAGAGAAAGAATATGCATGCTAGGAGCTGCATTTCCCACACTGTGGAATAATGTGCTAAAAGAAATTAGCGCTGTAGTCATTTACTTAATTCAAAAAAGATGTAACTTTATAGGGTTGCGGAATTCGGCAGCCCAGTTCATAGTGGAAACCACTTAACTGTCATTTATGCACAGACTCTGTTTAACATTTTCAGACTTAAAAAACCCCTGTCACTGAACAGTGGCAAATGCCACCATATTAGGCATGCAGTTTTCTTGTTTTGGGAAGCAGAATTTAGAAGTTAGTGGAGGAAAAAAAAAATGCCTAAGGGTTCCACTAGCTTTGCATTTGAAAAACACATCTACACACAAACAAATTTTATCTCTTAGTCCAAGTATCTGTGGCTCCACTGTTTAAAATTTCTGTTTTGGCATTAAGTTGGTGAAACACTAAGTGACCCCTTACTACTAAAGGTGTTTTAGACTCTGAAGTTGGATCTATCGGTTTTGTCTGTTACTAAGAAGCAGTTTTCCATGTGATCTTTTCAAAGGCAAAAGGTTAAGCAAAAATGACATATATTGTAAAATTGAAAGTAAAATGCACAGTACTGATGTGCTCAAAGTCCATGCATTTAAATTCCTTTGTATGATAATTTATGGTGATCATGTCTTCACACTGCACTATTAGCATACTCACCCCTAACCAGAAGTTCTGCCTCATCTGACACACTGTCTGCTGTGGTCTGTACCCTGCAGCCATATCTCCCAGCATGCATCAGAAGGATGTTCCTGATCATTAAATCTGCAGAGGATGCTTGCTGAAAGAGGGATGAAGTGCCAGTTTAAAATGTTGCAAATCTGCCTAGTTCAAGGTGGTTTAAGGGGAATTTTGTACATTCAGTTATAGGGCCCATTTTTGTCCTTACAATTTATATGACAACAATACAGAAATCAAACATGCCCTATTTTAAGGAACACATGGAAGTTATGTTTTCAATGATTGCTAATAAAGAGTTTGAACATTAAATATTTCATATCATGACTTAGCAGCTACAATATTTAAGAAATATTTAAATATGCATAAACATTCATATATTTAAAAGTATAGGAAAAATAATCAGTGAGCCAAAATTATCATTTTGACATTCAGAGACAGGCCTATATTGTGGCAAGACAATAGTTTTGAAAGGAATAGCAATGTGTGGAAATTAATTATGAGAAGATAGCAGTCAAAAGATTATCTTGTGCAGCTTTATTGAATGATTGTTTTTGTAAGTACACCGTAGGCAACAGAGTGAGGGTTCTTAGGTGAAAGACTGCTGGTCCCAAAGCCATGTGTCTTTATGTAACGAAGATTTATTCCTCCCATAACCATCACCATCAGGTAGTAGGGTCAGCCTGTATTTCTGCTTATCAGTGTAGTTATGAAACACAAAGGAGTTTTGAAACACTTGATTCTTGTTGGGAGCATGATGATTAGAACATAGTTGAACAACTGCAGTTAAGGACGTCAATAGGTATCTTTTAGATGAATCAGTTCATGGAATTAGTGATGATCCTACACATTAGAATGACAGGTACAGACTTTCATTATTTAATCTTAGCTTTCATTTACTCTATCAGGAAAGACAGATTTGTGTGTGTGTGTGTGTGTGTGGGTGTGCAGGTGTGTGTGAACATCCAAAGATCTGGAATTCACAACTCATAAGGTATTTTTTCAGATAACAACATAGCAAAACTCCAATACACTCTTCAGTTTTCATGTTGCAATAAAAAACAATTGGCTGAAATGAGTGTAGATGCATATAGCTCGAAATGATATTTTCAAAGAACTCAACAGTTCTCTTTAACAGTAGTTGAGTATATGAGTCCTTTCTGTTGAATTATAGTAAAAGAAAAACTTAATGAGATTAAGATGAGTCTTCACTGAAAATTACATAAAGATTCGAGGAATTCAGGAGGGTGAGGTATAGATTATCTTTCCTATGTTGTCCTTTACTTGGTTCCTGCAATTAATAGTGTGCAATACTTTATTAACTGACTGAAGCTCCATCACCATCTATCAGGAATAAAAAGTCTAGAGTTTATTGTATTTCTGTCAATGTCAAGAGTATTTGAGGTGTTGAAATAGTCTCATTTTGGGCTCATTCCTTCTCTTTTGGAGGATACCTATGTTATATTTTTACAGTTCTAAATAGGAAGATTAAAAGTAAAATGAATGGATTGTGAACACTAAACCTAAATTACCCATTCAGTAGATTTACTGATCTTTCAAGAGAAGTAATGAGAAGAATTCATGGGGGATCCCATTACACTTAATCTCAGTCCACAGTATGCAGTTCCTGAGAGAGAACCTCCACAATTTAGTGCACTTTTAATGAAATGGTTACTTACAGCAGATGCTTGCTTTCTTAAGCTTAAACCTCATTTTCACTTTTTCTCTCTTAGGAGTTATTCTCTCTTTTCTTGTTCTGTTTGACACTTACTTTATATCCTGTCTTTTCTTTGCTGCTTTTTCTGGCTTTATGAATAAACTGTGTTACATGTTGTTTCAAATGAACTTCCCCACAACCAGTACTTAACATAATGCTCCAAGCATTGTGCACCTAGCATTGTGCATGCCACATAGCGGGAGCTCAATAAATATTTGTTGAATGGCTGAATAAATGAAGACTCTTTAAGAAAGAGGCTGTTACACTTGTTTTGGGCATAGCATAATGCATAGACTAGTCAAATTGCTATAGTGTACACCTGAAACTAATGCAACATTGTATATCAACTATAATAAAAAAAAACAAAGAAAGAGGCTGTATGTTTACTCTCTGTGAGAGCAGCAACATGGCTAAATCATTTACGTTTGTTAGTCACATAGTCTCACTAGAGCAGTTGCTAGATTATTGTAATTTTTATTTATGGCTTTGAAATAATACAGGAACTGTCATCCCTCCACTCAAGTCCAAATCTTTATTGGCTTTCACTTTGACTAAATGTCCTCATCCCACATAAGACTGCTAGTTAAGACTTCCTAAAAATGGAAGCACATATAACTTTGCTGTTAAAAGTGTGTGCTGGCTCCTATTACCTTGTGGATTAAGTCCAATCTCCTCACTTCAACACAGAAGGCTCCTCAGAACATGATGCCACCTCCTATGACAGAGTCCTGTGCTTCTACAGCTTTACTCTCCCCTTTCCTCCTCCATGGGACTACTTCCCATAATTCTGCCTGTTGTTCTGTTGCAGGTGCTCTTTCTCCTTTCTTTGCCTGAGAAGATACTTTTAGACAGCTCAAAGGCCTTCTCCTTGGTAAAGTCTTTCTGGACTTTCTGGGCTAGACTTCATTTGTTCTGACACTGTTTAGTTATGCTCATGTCTCTGAACTAGCAGTTGTTGTTCTTGGAAGTCACCCACAAGGTCTACTATGGACAGTCCCAGAGCTGAGCTTGGTGCTAATGTAGCCAATGATCACTGGGTGAGCTGATGTATGCATGAAATGACTTGTTTCCTTCCTCCTCTGTGCCTGACATACCTCCTCATTCCCCTCATTTTTTTCTTTCAAAAAGGTTAGGATGGGAAATAAGAAAAGATCATGGAAAAAGTGGAAAAAAGGTCCTTAAAGAGTATATACAGGTTTCAGGAAGACACAGAATTGTGTGAATTCTTGCTCTACCACTTATTAAATTTTTAACTTGGGAAAATTAGTCTATCATGCAAAACTTCTCTCACAGCTGCAATGTGATAATGCAAGTAAAGCCCATAATAATGTCCAGCACATAGTGAATGTTTGATAAATGCTATCCATTAAAGGGCACTATAATCGCACTCTTAGCGAAGACAAATCTTTCTTTAATTGGTATTCACTCCTTTGACAAATGTCTATCAATGTTTTCCATAGATATAGTAAGTTTTCTGATAAGTGCTTAGTTTTATTTTATATATATATCCACTCTTACTCTCCTATAAGGAAACTACTGCACTCAGAATAAGAAGACCTGAATTCTAGCCTTAGTTTAGTGACTTCCTAGCCCTGCAACTCTGGGAAAGTCACTTTATTGGGATAATAACTGCACTATCTCTTTCATGAGGGAAATCAAGTGAAACAAAGTACATACATACATGAACTATTGGGAAATTCTTCAAAAGTGTAAAATATTCTTAAAGCTTTTTTTTTTTTAAAGCAGGATTTAGCAGAATGCTGTGCACATACTAAGCACTCTGAGAATGTTTGTGCGGAATGAATCATCCAAACAACAAGACAGCTTAAATTGAGTATTCTTGTAAATAGGACTCATGCTGAATGACTCAGTGAGAAGCCTTCTGGGGATGGCTGTTTCTGTGCCCTCATTTAGGGTTTATTTAACTTTCTCAAGAGGTTCACATAGGGCATTTCCAGCATCCCTGGCCCCTAACAGACATACAAACCATTCTTCTCTACAAAGCAAATGTAACATAGCATATAAATTCTGTGAGGCGTGATTTTAAAAATTTTTTCTAACATAAAAAAACTAGGTATCAGCTATGAGACATGGATTATTAGATATGATTAATATTATTGACATAAACTCTTGAATACTTAAAAGATTTCCCTGGTACAGTATTTTTTTTCCCCAGAGGATGATTTGTTTCAAGTACCCTACCATGATAAGGAAATAACATACATATACATTATTTTTCCAACTGTTTTTTTTCCCTTAAACCTTTATATAACAGGATTTACATTCATGATGGCATGGGTTTTAATATATTTTTAAAGAAAGCTGATATTAACTTGCATGCCTAAGTAATTGGACATACTCTCTGAAATAGAAAAATTAATTGCTACTAGTGAAAAAATACTAGACAAAATACTATTTGACAAAAACATTTATGTCTATAATAATGAAATAGTAAATGCATGCAACAATGCACTGAAGACTAAAAATAGGTAAAAATTGCTCTCATATCCCATTACTAGGACCTTGGTATTTAATTTCCAACACATATTCTAATAACGTACTTTTAACTGCTCAGAAAAATGCAGAAAAAGCTTTACTTGATGACGTAGGTTAAAGAGGAATGAGTTGGTAACTCTTTGATGAACTCAGAATAGCCAGATATCCAAGCTGGATCACTTAGTATTATAAGCACAAAGTCGTGAATTCATGGGATCAGTCCACTATCTTGGTTAAAATGAAGATTAGACATTAGGAAGCAGGTCAAAGCAAGAATATACAGGAAAAGTTATAATTAAATTTTAGTATAACAAATTTAAAAATAAAAATGTTAAGTCGTACTTATTTCCTCAATTACAAAATTGGATATATGAAGAATAATGAATGAATGACAAAATGCTATGTGCATCACATTAGTGTTCCTCCTTTCCCAAGTAGATATATAGGACTAGAGAATGTAATATCTAACATGTCAGTCGATGTCAGACTTAGGTGGTATGTTTGTTCCCTAATTCTTAAAAAATGTCTCTGATCTGAACACATGTGCCTTGACTCTTTTTTCCCTAGTGGTAGGTAATGTGCATTCCTATTCCTTTATCTAAGATTAACATAAATGGGGCACCTGGGTGGCTCAGTTGGTTAAGCAACTGCCGTCAGCTCAGGCCATGATCCTGGAGTGCCAGGATCAAGTCCCGCATTGGGCTCCCTGCTCAGCAGGGAATCTGCTTCTCCCTTTGACCCTCCCCCCTTCATGCTCGCTCTCTCTAAAATAAATAAATAAATAAATAAATAAATAAATCTTTAAAAAAAGATTAACATAAATGATCAAGATAAAAGGGTTCTGCTATAGACTGTATGTGTACCTCATCCCCCCACTCCCAATTCACATA